CGGGTAATACCCGATGCGGACGCACACATTTAGAGGGGCCTGAAACGCGGGCAATACCCGTGAAATTCGATGCTTGGTGATTTGGATTCCGCGAGTCCCCCTACCTGCTGCTCCGAAAGTGTTGGATCTAGCGTAATTCTATCTTGCATCTATCGTCAGGGGTGAAGATGCAAGGGTAATCGATATCAATCGATAAGGTCACAGAGACCGGGTTGATCGATTGGTCATCGATTTCGAATATCAATCGATGGATTGGCTTCGATTGGCATCGATTGATATCGATTTTAATCGATCATCGATTTCATCGATTGGCTACCCCGGGACTATTGTTTTGAAGTCGATCGCCAACTATAAACTTGGCAATTTTCGACCAGAGTTCGTAACCCGATTGTGTAAAGTAATATAAGACCGAGTATAAAGTGCACTATGATATACATAGAATGCTTGTTTTGTGGCAAATAAGTCTGTTTGTCTAGAGCTTCGTAATCACTCATGTTTGAAGCATTTTCTTTATCTTCTTCCATTATTTCCGGCTTTGAACAACTAAAAAACTTAAAAAACTTAAAAATAATTTTGTATTTCTTAATATAACTTAGACTTACCTATGTTACCAGATGGGTAATCTGCATGGAGTGCAAAATTTGAGCGAGAAAATCGAGGAAAACTCGACAGTACAACAACTCTTCACGCTACAAGGAAACTGTGGGCGTCTGAGGCGTCCAGGCGTTGGCGTCACATTCTCGTTCCCAGATCCTCCTCGGTTGTTGTCAATCAACGACACAGGTAACCCAACCATTTTCCCCATTCAGATACATATATATAAATAAACTAGACCCACAGAATCCAAAAAATCGTATTTCTAGAACAAGATATCGAGATAAATTGTACCTATTTTGTTATTTGGCTTTCTACAATATCCAAGAAGTGCCACGAATGTCCTTGGTATCGAATTGTGCTTGGGCTTCCTGTGTAGCGTTCATCTCCAGAAAGCCACATCTGATACAGTGATCCCAACATGTTGCACTCTCTCGTACATCAACTTTAACACCGTAATGTTTTCTGCCTTTCGAAATATAGAGGTAAATACTTCGTTTAAAATGTCACTTTTAGTAATTTTGATGTATGTTTTTATCTTCAAAGAGCTGTATAAGCTATATAAAAAAGTTCAAAATTTTTTTAATCCATCTTGGAAACCGGCTGTATTATGCTATAAAAGTGCTACAAATAATACTTAAWTACTCTTTGGGATTTAGTTGAAATCATAGCCGCCATGTTTAGGTGGTATCAAGTTTGTTAATATAGTTTAATATAGTTTAATATTTAGTGGTCATGTGTATTCATTATAATATAGAAGTTATATTGAGAACTACAGCTAACTATTTCTTTATATCGTCCAACATGGTGGCCATGTCTTTTCTTATATCTTCCAACATGGTGGTCATGTATTTTGTTATATCATCCAACATGGTGGCCATGTCTTTTGTTATATCATCCAACATGGTGGCCATGTCTTTTGTTATATCATCCAACATGGTTGCCATGTCTTTTGTTATATCATATAACATGGTGCTCATGTCTTTTGTTATATCATCCAACATGGTGGTCATGTCTTTTGTTATATCACCCAACATGGTGGTCATGTCTTTTGTTATATCATCCAACATGGTGGTCATTTCTTTTGTTATATCATCCAACATGGTGGTCATGTCTTTTG